CAAGATGGCTTACCTAACGGAGCGCCTCCGTTGGGCCTTGTTTTGTTGATGAACCTTGATCAAAACCACCCAGAAACTTTCCTTGAACCTCAATGAAGCTTTTGGCAATCTTAATTTGGCTTGAAATGACTTCAACTGCAAAACTCGATTTCAACTTGCTCTTGAGTTGTTGCAACTGATTTCTTGATCAATTTCGCTCCAAAATCGCTTTCTGAGAGTTTGTGAATGATTCTGAGTTTATGTACTTTGGATCCAGATGGAATTGGGGCCCAATCAAAGCTTGGTTGAGTCCAATTGAAAATCCAAAAAATGAATTTGAAGCTTGCAAAATACACGTGAAAATAGAGCTCTAAAGGCTCTGAAACTGATTCAAACTCATTGCTTGTGATGTAAGGAAATCCAATGGACAAGATTGACTCCTTGTTTTGATCTTAATGGTGAATTTTGAATATGTACCTTCATGGTGAAGTAACATGGAATTTACACACGAAAATGGCCTCAAACTTGATTTCTGATTTTGGCATCATGTTTAGCACATTAAAGCAAATCAAAAAATGCATAAACATGCCATTATATGGTTTAAAATGAATTTGATCCAAACTATGGCTTTCAAGTGTTCTTTCATGGAAATTCTTTCACAATTCTTCCAACTCAAGCCAAACCCATGATAGGTTGATGTTTGATGATGAAAAGGATGCTTTTTGAAGCAAGTTTGATGTTGGAAAAAGTTCCATTTGGGATGTGCAAAGTTGTGAAAATGACCTATAATGAAAATGACTTATAATTAAAGTTTCCCAAAATACCCCTGTCTTGCAAGCTTCATATCTTGAGCTTTACAAATCATATGAAAGAGTTCTAGTACTTTTTGGAAAGCTAAGATCATAAGAAAAAGCTTTCATGTTTGGGTTAAAGTGAGGAGAAACATCCTTCTAGGTCAAAAGTGTCTTGGAAGTTGGTTGACTTTTGTTGACCAAAATCACATTCATCTGAGGACCCATAACTTGTCAGCTTCATAACTTGAGTTCTAGAAATCAGATGAATGACTTCTAGTACTCAAAAGAAAGCTAGAAACACGCTATACAAGCTTCATGTTAGGGTAAAGATGCAATGAGACTTGTATCTTGAGATATATGGTCTTGAAGTTGGGCCCTAAACATGGGATTTTACACTGACAAGCTTAGAAACCCTAGCTTAGCAACTTCTCAAACTCTTGATTCTTGATGAATTGATCTTGAAATGATACATGAAATGTCTCAAAACAACATTCCATGATCATAGATACTTGGAATTGAGTCTTAATCTCCTTCAAATTCACTGTTGACTTAGGGTTGACCAAATGAAAACCCTAACTGCACCACCTTTGACTGTGACTTCTTATACTTGATATAATGACTTGCACAAGCTCCTCAATGACCCTCAAGATATTAAATGAGCTTATATGATATTCTCCATTCATAACCATGGACTCAATGTCCTCTGATGATCTTCCCATGGCCTCAAAGATAGAAGGTGAACCATATTCATTCATCTGCCTTTTCAAAGAATTTTGACTTTCTTCTGATGATGATAAGCATTGGACAACTTGAATAAGACCTCTTGCTTAGACTTAGAAACTTTGGTAATCTCCTCTTGTTAGGAACACCTCTCTCAATCCCTTGTATATGAACAATGTTATGCAAATTCTAATGTTATGAGAATGCAATGAAACATAAGCTAAGTAAAGAAAATGTTGGGCAAATTTTGGGGTGCAACATCTGCTAACATAAGATTTGGTTGTCACCGCTGTCATAACTCTTACTCAAGAAGTTTCAACCTCATGTCTCTCGACGTTGTTTTTACTAAGTCTCTGGCCAGTGGCTTAGTAAATGAATCAAGAAAATTATAGCTCAATCGTATATATGTGAATGATTACATCCTTTATGAATTTTCTCACAAAAGAATGTCTAAGTCCTACTTGCCTAGATTTCATGTTATACATTTTTTGTATGATTTATTTAAATTGGTTTGACTACCGCAATGTATCAACACCTTTGAAACACTGTCTTTAGTCAATGGAACTTCTAACAGAAGGTCCCTTCAACCATTCAGCTTCTTCACTAGCAGAAGCAAGAACCTCGAACTTTGATTCTATGGTTGAGAGAGTGATCCACATTTATTTCTCACTCTTCTAAGAAATTGCACCCCCGACTAGTGTAAATATTTACCCAAATACATATTTATGATATTTAACACTTGGTATCCAACTCGCGCTGCTATATCCTTCTAATATGGCAAAAAAATATACCATAATGGAGACTTAGATTTTGGTTTTCATAAGATAGCCGAAAATCCTAATGATGGCCTTCCAGTGCTCACCATTCGAATTTCTAGTAAAATCTACTAATTTTACTAATAGTAAATGCTATGTCGGATCTAGTACATTGCATGCACTTGTATATTTTAATTGAGACATAACTCTTCCATCATTCTTTTGGAATTCGATACTCCATTTGATCATAGTATCTCTTATGTTAGTAGAACATTAACCTCAAGATTCAATGGGTAACAACAAATCATTGATTTGGATGTTTGTAAAAAAATTTGTGATAATGTTGACCTTTAAAATGAGGGTTGAGTTTTCATTTAAACTCTTAATGAAATTCAATACCGAGGATATGTGTCTAATGGAAAAGGATACAATATGAATTTCACCTATGTAAATTTTGAGATGGTGTCGTCTCAAAGTGAGAGTTGAAGTTTCTCTCATGAAAAATTCACAAAAATAGGAAAAGCACATGGTCATAAATACTGCTAGGTGAGAGATGTAGGAGAAGAACCACTAAAGAGTGTGTGTAAGATAATGTTGGTTTAATCACAAGAGATAACTGTTCAAAGCATTGGTATCTAACATTCAGATTAAACTTTGCGTTATTTTTACTAAGGTTAAGTTCAAAGCGAAAGATACTTAACTGTATTAACATTCTTTGTTTCTCTTTTTCTGAAATTGGTTTTGTCATTATTAGAACAAGTGGTGGATTGTTGTAAATTATTAAGAATTAATAATCTTGAGTATGTTCCAAAATGACAAGAAAACATGCAAGTGAAGATTAATTTTGAATTCGAAGAGAAGCAACACTTCGTGAAGTGTTGTTGCGGAATGAACATAGGTAATTCTTGGAAACAATGCAACTTTTGGTTAAAAGGTGTTGTTTCATCAAGGGTCGTAACCTTATGAAATAACACATACATGGCCTATAAATACTCCATTCCGAAATTCAGAAAATCATATCACAAATCGAAAATCCTCTTGTACAAATTTCAGACATTCTTCACTACAAATCGAGTTTTTGTCGGTCTTGCACAAATTCAATATAAGGCTGGATTATTCCGGGTATTCATGCGTTCCAACTCTAAGACATACAAGAAAGTGCTTGAAATACTTTTAAGGAAAATGACATCATTCCCAATTCCAGCCTCCATCCACTCGATTAAGTTAATTTTCTAACAAGTACAAGAATAAATAGTTATAAGACATATAAGAAGTGTGCAATAGTTATCTAGGATACAATATGAAAATAAACAACCTCCGATTAAATCTAACAACGCAATCGACCACGGGCCTTGCAGATAAATGACCAATGCTACTAAAAGCAAACATCAAAAGAATCAGACTAGATCTCATACCATAGGCTCAACCATCAACGAATCAAAATCCATCAAAAGAATACCAAAACCACCAACGACTATCTACCTTTGGAGACAAACACTCAAACTGCTGTTAATGTAGACAGAGGAAAGGAAAATTTTTAAAGCCAGTTAAAAAAAATGTAAGTGTTCACCCCGAATCTATCTAGAAACCTTTCTCAAGCAAAAAATTTATTGTTCTCCTCCATCTCTTTTACAATTTTTACAATATCATTAAAAATGAAAAATCATTAGAAAACCATCTATAAACTTGATTCTACCCCATAAAAAGAGGAAAAATTCAAACAAAAGCCTAAGTTCTCTAGGGAGTACTACTTGCTAACTCAATAAGTGACAAAAACAAAAAGAAAAAAATGACTTCACCAAAACCTCACAAGGGACAAAGACTCCATTAAGATCAACAATTACGTCTAAACAAATTCTCCTTAGAAGAAAAATCTATCCTGACAACCTAATAACCACGCTAGAAAAAGTCCATTGTCTCAAATTCCAAACAAAATAACTTAATTTCTAAATGTTTAGAACAAATAATAAACATCATAAGCAAGAGAAAATATAACAGTTGTCATGTTGCTTATAGTTATAGATTTGCAATGAATGTTAGAAGAATTGTTTTGAACAAGTTGGTTTTGTTGTGGTTCTTATAAAAGTATTAAGCATAAGCATTGAATAACCTTAGGCTAATTCACTTCTTATCCCACAAATATCGTAATCCCTATCGTACTATTTATAAAATAAAATATTATCTAACAAAGAATAAGGAAGTACACTCAAGCGAGTTTATACTATTTTTCTTTTCTTTTAAAAAAGCACCCTTTGAATAAAACCGATGAATTTCTAGGTCAACTAAAACTCATAATAGGAAAATATAGGTATAAAAGAATTTTCAACAAATAATACACTATGTGAGATTAATTTGGGAGTGGGATTAATACACGTTTTATTCCTTGTCACTTAGGGCGAATTCGAAAAAAGATCTGGTAAAAAAACACAGATTTCGTCTTTATCACTTTAAGATTTTTCTCTTTTAGTCCTTAAGTGGATCTGATCAACTAAAATACTGATGTGGTAATGACATCGTGATGTTTTTTCATTGTTCACTTAAGTCATAGTCTACGTGGAATTTAAAATCTTAATAATAATGTTAACTTGTGACGTTGTTTAATAAATTAATTCCACTTACTAATTAATAAAACTATCAATTTAAAATTAAATTGGATAATTCATCTTCTTCCTTTCCCATTTCTTGTTTGTAGCTAGAGTTCAAAACTTTCCTCTTCCGTGAATTCAGTTCGTATCTCAATTGTTCTGAGACTATGATTGGAAGCACGAGTTCAGGCTACATGTCCAGTAGGAGAAAATCACCAGTTTGTGGGCACGAGCTTCCCATGAGAATCCATATTTCGAAATCAAGCTCAAACCCAGGAAGAAGATATTGGAAGTGCAAAATTTTGAGGGTTTTTGTTATATTTTCTTCATATCATTTGTTCATATTTATTTGCATGTTCAATTGTTTGCTATGTTTCATCTCTTCTCTTTTTTTTTCCAGAACGATGATGATTGTCATCTATTTCATTGGGATGCTGAACTGTTTCAAGGAAAACAAGTTAAACCAAGATACGGTGGATGTTGCTCTGAATGTGAAAACATGAAAGTGAATATAAGGAAATATGGAGTTGAGTTTGGGAAAGAGTTTGGTCATGAGTTTGAGAAGGTATTTAAGAACAAGAAAATCGGGAAACTAAATATGAAAGCTGCAAAAGATCATAAGACCATTCAAACACTCACTTACATTCTTGTTGCATCTTGGTTATTTTTTGCTATAATGTTTTGTAATAGGTAGAATGTAAGTAGGTAGAATGTTATGTCATGTTTTTTAATAGGTAGAATGTTTGGTTCAATACTAGTTTGTAATATCTGTCAGTTTAATATCTTGAATGAAATTTTTGGTTCCCTTGTAATGAGATCAATGAGATCCCTTGTAATTTATCACTCTGAATGAAATGAAAAATATGTGTTTGGTTCAATACCAGTTTGCGATATCTATTAGTTCAATATCTAGTATGCAATCTGTTAGTTCAATATTCGTTGGTTCAATGCCGGTTTTCAATACCAGTTCCAAAATACTCAATATCAGTTTTCTAAATAGATTTGCAATTTTAGTCTGCATTAACATCAAATTCCAAAATAACCAAGGTGTATAACACTCAATATCAGTCTTCAAAATAGACTTGCAATTTCAGTCTGCATTAATAAGATTCCCAAAAATACTTACAATATCAATCATGCATCAATATGAGTCTGCATTAACATCAACCTAAGCACACAAGTGGCACTAAAAACTTGAAAATAAGGTTCAACCTAAACACATAATGTGCATTACAAACATCAAAATAAGGTTCAACCTAAGCACATTATGTGCATTACAAATATCAAAATAAGGTCTAACCTAATTACATTATGTGCATTACAAACATCAAAGTAAGATTCAAACTACAAACATTAAGCAAATTTCTTCTTTTTTGTAGACACATATTTCTTCTTGTAGGCCACCCTTTCTTTCTTTTTTGAAGACTTTGTAGCAGCAACAACTTCAGTGGTGTCAGAGGTTGGATTCACAATCTAAGAGGATTGATATTCAGCTTCAACGGAGGCCACAATTGCTTCAATTGATGCATCAAATTCACCATGAAAATTGTCAGGTGGAGGCTCATCCACTACAGGCTCATACATTATATCCCTAATTGCAACTGCCTTCTTATCCAACTGCCATAGCTCAGACATCTTCTTCTCTCAAGCTTGATAGTAGGTTGCTTTTGCAGCTTCCATCATGAGATCCCTAATTGCACTGCCTCCACCATTTTTTTTTTGAAATTGGCATACAAGTGTCTTAAACATATTATATGCTCAATGAACTCAAACATCTCTTCAAACACAGCTACAAGACCCATGTAAATGAAATACAAATTATTGATATGATATGAATATGGAACTACAAACATCTCTCCAAACAATATAAAAATGGAACTACTAAACTTTATTCATACCTTTTATTAGTCTGATATGAATACATATCTCCCGTGTTGTCCAATATCTTCCATAAGTAGTTGTAAGAACCACCTCCAGCTTTCCTTTGTCCCTGTTTCCACAACACCAAATGCTAAAGGAAAGTATTGGTCATTAGGATCCCTAGCCACAATAATAAGTAATTGGCCACCATGCTTTGTCTTCAAGTGACACCCATCCACACCAATAAATGGTCTGTAACCATTAAGAAACCCTTTCTTTCACCCATCAAAACAGAAGTAGAAACTACCAAACCTTGGTGGTATTGTTGGAATTGGTCACTCAACATTAAATTTCATTGTATTCCCAATATTTTGCTTCCTAAGTTCTGAAACATAACTCCACAATAAAGAATATTTCTTAGTTGAGTTACCTTTAATAATTTCCTCAGTTATGTGTTTGGCCCTACATGCTCTTCCTTTGGTGATCCCAACTAAATATTTGGTCATAAGTCCAACCATTAGATCTAAGACTTTAACCTTGTCACTTGACTGCCTTTTTTCAACTGCAATCTTGGACACCCACTTTGAGTTGGCTGACTTATTATCGAAAACCCTAGCACAAGTATGTGATCCCACCCAAGTCTTTATTTGAAAAATGTGTTTGTCACCCACTTTACTACAAAGTGCCAAAAAAACCACATTTACCCATGCACTCCACCCTTACCCTACAACTTTCATTTTTTACAAACCTAATCTCTCTACCATTTAAAACAGACTATTCTCTTATGGCATCCTTAAATTCAATAAGAGAGTTAAACTCCATACCTAGTTTGAACTCAAAGTCTTTGTTGAGAAAATCTCATATAAACTTCTCATATTTGGACATCCTTTCATTATCACTATTGTCTACAATATTGTGCTCCACCCATATATGTCCATCAACATTGTGAGAGATAGAATGCTTGGCAATTTCTGTAACGTGTGAATCATCGGCCAGGTGAAAGAAACCTTCATCAATCCCTTCAATCATTCTCCACATTCGAACACCACTACCATCAAAACCACACACCCTTATTAAACTCAATGCTTCAAAATAAAATCATGTGTCTGCGTCCTGACCACTAACGATGGTTTCAACTCCTCTGTGGAAAATAAAACTTTCACGAACAAACTCTCCATCGTGGTGAAGGATTAAGTTGAACAGTACCATACATATAATGGGAATTCTAAAATCAACAATGGCTGACAATTAACTACAATTAGTGACGATTAGCTGATTACCAAACAGAAACGTACCTTGTAAACCTAACAATGAGTGAAGAACCGCAACTTAGAGAAGACGATGAAAATGTGTCGTTTCTATTCTAGGTTTCAAGGGGGTAAACGAAATTTCATAATGTTACCTTCTAACAAAATATGTTTGTTTTATTAATATTGAAAAAAACTTAATTAACATTATTATTAAGAGTTTAAATTCCACTTGGGCTGTGACTTAAGTGACAGGATAAAAAAGTCACGCTGTCATTACCACATCAGCATTTTATTTGACCTAATCCACTTAAGATCTAAAAGAGGAGAATCTTAAAATGACAAGGACAAAATCTATGTTTTTTTTTATATGATCTTTTTTCGAATGTGTCCTAAGTGACAGGGACAAAATGTGTATTAACCCTTTGGGAGTGTAAAAGTTTGTAACATGCATTCATCAATCAAATCACATTGAATAAATATTTATAAAATAAATTATCTAATGATTATATATAAAAAAATATTTTCAGATGTGTTTGATTTGTTAAAAATTAAGAGATTGAACAACATAATTAGTTGTTCTGCATTTGATTTTAAGACTTTTCAAAGAACATGACAAAAATCAAAATTATACACCTAACAAAATATATAAGAAAACGCGGAGACAAACACACCATTAATCGTCGCTTATAAATTTGTAAGTTCTAGTTCAACATGCAAATGCTAAAATTATTAGGTCAGACACCGTGTCTCGTTTTTTGTTACCATTTCTGATCCTACTTATAAGAAAATGTTTGCTTTTTAAATTCATTTTTTATTACCATTTCTGGTCCTACTTATAAGAAAATGTTTGCTTTTTAAATTCATTCAATAATTAATTTGTTTGATCTATATTTTATCCAGATACATTACTTATTCAATTAATCTAAGAAGCAATTTTTTTTTTTATAAATAGAATAAATGGAAGTATGAGACAACATAATTGTGTGCGTGAGTTTATGATGTTTATTACCACAAAGACTGCATGGATCACTAAGGAAAAGACAGATTTATCACAAGCAACCACCAATCAATTATGAATGAAAGTCACATCATATGTGCAAGTATTCAATCAAATTTAGAATGAAAGAATAGTACTTGCATTGCGTTTAAACTGCTCCATTTTCCTTTACTTCCATCATCATCATACTATGATGATAATAAAAAATTATAATACTATGCATTCACAATTCACCTGGGTGGTGGCACCAAGAAGTCTTTGAAACCTTATATGAATTGGTTTTTGGCATTACAACTATGAAATGGAAAAATCATAAAAATTCAACTTCACATATGCTGTAATGTGCACAGCTGAGAGAAAGACTCTAAGACATTATAAGCTATAAACCTTCCTTCGAATCCGAAGATTGTATCTAACATCAAACTATGTATAATGTACTGTACTATTTCAATGAATGAAAGATCACATGCTGCAATCTCTTAAGTATTGAGACAGAGAAACAAATTCAATCTCCCATTATCAGAAATCATTGTTTGAAACCTGTATATAACACATCGTCGTTACTGCCAGCGCTACCATTACCGTTGCAGGCGAAATTCATTCTTCCCTCTTTTTCAGTATCTGCAACAGCACCGCTACTAGAGCCTTCGACCTTATGACGCACGCGTCGCGAAGCTTTTGATCCTGAGCTGTCCCTACTTCTGACACGCTTCTCCTTTTTGTCTAGATATCCGAAGGCAAAAGCTTCCAGAACTTTTGCTGTCGGGGGTCGGTTTCTTGTGCCTGTCCTCCGGGCTTGCACGTCAGGCTGCTGCTCTGAGTGATCAACCGGCTCGATGTTTGTCCCTGCACTGATCTCACCCGATTCCTTGCTTGTATCAGTTTTCTGTACCTCAGTCACTTCATTCACAAAAGGCTCATCAGCATCAACTTCCGGTGAGACAGGTAAGTTAAGGTCAATCATAGTCCGCGGCTGAGGTTTCTGATGTTGTTCTCTTGTGCCGGAAGAGCTCGTACCAGGAACACTTTCTCTGCAGATGAATGAGCCAAGATTTGGCAGAGGTTCTGCTAACTTTTTTGTCTCCTGAGTTGGAAAACGCGCTAAATAGTTAACCTCCTGAGGTGGAACTAACTTCTCCGCAGATGAATGAGCACTATCACTAGATTTTGAATTGTAAGGACACTTCTCTTGTTTTACTCTAGGAGCCAAAAAATCAGCAGTTACATTCTCGCGGTATTTTGAGCTGTCTTGATCCTGACAGAAACTTGACTCCTCTTGTTTAACTCTCGGAGAAACCGCAAAGAAACTCGTGCTTCCGTTTGTCTTTGCACGGCTACATGCAGTTAATCTCCTTCTCTTTTTTGTAATAGGGACCAGATCAATTATGTTATCAGATACCATCTTCGAGAGTGATTGACACTTCACACCGTCTTTTCTCTTTTTGTTATCCAAGAAGTCCGTCTTCTGGTCTATCGAGGCAGCTGATACACTAGCGCAGACCATGTTGCTTCTTGGAAGCTTCTCTTTCGAAGGCTTGCTTTCAAAACCACTCAAGTCTGAAGATTCACCCTTAACAATGTTAAGTTTACCGGATTTAGTAATATCATTCTTCCCGTTATCAAAGTATTTGCCTTTTACAGACTCGGAATCATTTGTTTTCTCCTCTTCTGAAGTATTTTCATCGTCCGAATCAATTTCCAAACTAGAAGCTTCTAAAACTCCAAATGGTAGGCTTTTCAGTTCTTTCACATTTCTCGTCTTTTCATTCGCCAGACTTGTATCCACAACAGTGAATTTAATTACATCTGCGCTATTGTTTGGAGTTTTTACCTTGAGATAGCAATGACGCGGCTGATCAGCCGGGGAATCTTCTCTGTCCAGTTTTGTATCCTTCGTCCACCCATTTCCTTCCTTGGTTGAGAAGTCATCATCCACATTTTTCTCGAGATCAATTAGCTCAGGATCGGACGCAACTTTACTGAGGACATCAGATAGAGAATCGAAATAGTGATTCCCTTTCACGAGCTTCCTTGAAAACTTTTTAACTCCGGGGACAAGGTAGACCAGAGGATTCTTAGAAGTAACCGAATAGTTATAACATCTAGGCTGCTCCGAGTGCCAACCTCTGGCAAGTAAACGAGGCCAAACAGCTTCCCAAAAGAGATCGCTTGTTCGCGCTTTACTTAATCTGAAGTCACCTGTTAGATAGCTTATTATCTCTGAAGTTGAAAGCATTGAACATGCTTTACCAACCGGTATTTCTGCGCGAAACGGAACGGCTTGAGTGGACCGTACAGAATCAATAGAGACACCAGTAAGATCTTGTTTCCCTTTACCAATTCCTACTCCCTCAACAAGTGCTTTGATCCCAACCGAAGCTTTTAGAGTTAAAACATATTCTTCTAAAAGCATTTTTCCCTCTACAAATGTCTTCGACGCCTATCAAACAATTGAACTCAAAATAGTCATAACATGTTCATATTAAATACCATGACAGTAGAGAAACAATGATATTAAAATTAAAACGACATAAGCTTCAGAATTGTTTAAGTCGGTACCTCAAGTAATTCCTTTTGACATTCCTGTGATACATTCGGTAGTAGACGAGACAAAAGCTCGTGTTGCCTTTGTCCGGTGAAAATTCTCTGCCCGAACACGCGTTTCCTGCTTTTCATTTTCCTACATCCATCCCATCTCTGATATTTGTCAGACTTATAAAATTTCCCATAATAGAATGACAGTATATCCTCCATCTTCTTATTGCCGATAAATCTTTTCACTTGAACGAGGTTCTTCCCAAATATATACAAACCAAGGACGAAACCGGCCTCTTCAACTTCAGTCCAGTTGTCACTTCGAGAACCGGGAACCAGAATCTGCCCTTTATGTTCATCCTCCTCAAGCATCCCAATCTTTGTTTCTTGCTGCATATCAGAAATCAACTTGCATTCGTTTCTTGGTCGATCGGCATTGCTCTTCTCTGCTCCATCCTTTATCCAAATAATTGGAATAGGTAATCCTACTCGAAAGTTACGAATAGTACTTTCTGCATCGTCGGTGTTCCTTCGAAACAAACAATACTCGGATTTTGAAATTAAAGCAGGAATTTCAACCTGGTAGTCCTCACCCACTCGAGGAGATAATTCCGGATCTGGATCACCGAAAACATTATAAGCATTGGACCTTTCTGGAGAAAGTGATTGTTCATCTCGCTGCTCATCGATATCATTCGCTAGATTGTTATTAACTTGAACTGCATTCACCTGTCCAAAAATTCAAACATGTTTAGCATGCAAGGTTTAAGATTTTCAACATGATGATGTTCATGTAATGAAGTATCAACAGAAACAAACACTTTCTTCCAGTTGTAAGTAAACATAAATCAACCTATGGTCAAACATATTCTAAAAATTTATTTATAAATATTCCTTATTCAAATCATACATGGTTCCAATCAGTAAAAATGGAGAAATATAAACTAATGAGAAAGAAAATTAAGAAAATCTATATTTTATTTTAAAAATAGAAGAAAAATCTTATCAAGGATTTTGTTTTGGTCTAAACCCTCTGGTTCTCGGATTCTCACCGGAGAAAGCCGGAGTAATGCAGTAAGTAAAGTCTAACCAATAATTATTTCGGGACAACTCAAGTTTAAGTCCTCCCAAGGATTCAACCTTGAAGTTCATTAATCACTATATAAATATTATTTAATAACACTTAAATTCCCAAATTAAATAACAATATTCAGGAACAGAAAAAAAAAAAAAAAAAAAAAAAAAAAAACTCAAACAACAAAATCAACTCATAAGAACATCAACCACCAGATAAAATCACAATAATGAGGATCAGATTCAGAGGAGCTATATATGTTTATCATTTGAAGGAAGTAGACAGAGGAAAACTGAGGCAGAGCAGTGTCTGCAAAACTAAGAACAAATGAATAAGCCAGATCCATTTTCTCGAAACAAGAGTAAAACCCAGAATCCAAAGTTGAAAACTTTACACAAATGCATGAAAACCCTCTAAGCACATTACTCTCAATTACGAAAAAGCGGCGCAATTATTCAAACCTGAAAACCGAACTCAAAACAACAAAGAAAATGAAAAAATAACACGAAACAAACATAATAATATAATATATCTATGAGAAACAAAAAAATAACAGCACAGCAACAACGGGTTTTGAACACGAATATGATCCACGAAAATTCGTGTTATTTACTACTAACCAGATATATTCAACTACATTAAAATTGTACGACAAGTAAAGCACGAAATAAAATATAAAAAATAAAAGAAAATTTGTAGTGTTGGTTACCTCCATAGAAGCAGAAGAAGAACCTGATGAGACCCACATGAAGCTGCAAAAATGGGTCGTGATGGTTATAGAACGATTCCCAAGTTGCGGATTGAAAATAAAGAAAACGTGAAGAAAGCACTTATATATATATATGAAAACGGATATATAGTATATATATATATATATATATATATATATATATGTCTGAGTATATATATATACACATATAAAGACACGCGCACACACGCACATAGAGTTGTTGTGAGTATAAAGAGAGAGATATACCTGGTTTCGTTAAGAAAGAAGAAGTTTCATGGCTATGAACGAGGGTTGAATTGAAGAACACTGGGTGAAGAGTCGACGGAGGCAGAGAAAGAGAAAGAAGAAAAATTTTACGAGAAAATATAGAAAATGGAAAATGAAAAATGAAAACTAAAAACAAAAACCCAAGTCGTTCTCTTTTATCTTGCCTCTTGTTGATATATAGAGAAAGATAGAGAGAGAAAATTGAATTAAAATAGAGAAAAATATGTAGAGAGAGAAAGTGCAGGGTACATGATCACGCGCGAGTGGCGCGTGAAAAGATGGAGTGACACGTGGCGGTGAAGATTCCAATCATACTAAAGTGAATAGAGGAGAGTGGGAGAGTGTGGGAGAGAGGGAAAGAGAGATGAGGAGATTCTACTGCGTGAATTGATTCATGTTATTATTGTTATTGTTGTATGCTTTTGTGGTGAGTTTGAGAAATTTTGTTTCATCTAGAAATAGTTTTTGATATGCAATCTTGCTTTTCCATTTCTAACACTTGTTCATAGACCTCAAATTTTGTTTTTTGAAATATGGAAAACCATCTAAATAATCTATGAGTGTGTTTAGTTCCGGGTTGCTTTTTTAAAACTACGGCAAAAAATTACGATAGCGTAAAAGTTACATTTTGTAATTTATAAAATTTATGGTAGAAAGAAATCTTTATGAATGTATTTGGTTTTGTATATGATTTTTTTAAAACTACGGCGAAAAATTACGATAATCACGATAACGTAAAAGTTATCTTTTGTAATTTGTAAAAATTATGGTGGAAAAACATTTTTATGAGTGTGTGTGATTCTGTGTTTGGGTTTTCTTAAACTGCGGTGGAAAATTACGATAACGTAAAAATTACACTTTGTAATTTATAAAAATCACAATGGAAAGACATGTCATCATGATGCGTTGTTGAGCAAATGTTGGCCGAAACACATGTTATACCGTGTTGTGTTGTTAAGCAAACATTGGTCGAAACACGCACTATATCATATGTCATTGATGAAATGTTGGCAAAAACACGCGCTATATCATATTGTATCATTGAGCAAATATTGGTCAAAACACGCGCTATAAATTTGTCCGTTACTTTTTAAAAGATTTAAATAAAAGGTCATTTGCTTTATCAAATTTTATGCATATTAATCTTTTTATGAATAAGAGACCACATTCAATAATAATTTTATAAAATTAAATTAATTATAAGTATTTAATGGATAAGTACTAAATTAATAAAAGATATATCGTTAAGACAACTCAATTAATAGTTATATAAGAATATAAGTGTAGAGACGCAAGCTCGAACATATGACATCATGTTGTTTTATCTTTAACGAGATGGATTCCAGATACTAAACTACTTAATAAAAATTAGTTAATTAACTATATATTTTTAATAGATTGATGAATATATTTAAAATATTTATAAACACGTAAATTTATTTGGTAGAAAAATAAAAATGAAAGATTAATTATTGTGTTTACTCTTTTCTATATCCATAAATTATAAGATCATTGTGTGGATGAAAGGTTGAATCTCTCCCAAACAAGAAAATAAATATAAAACATAATAAAACTCAAGATATAACTCTTTAAGAGGAATTAAAATCCTAACTTATGAGGAAGATGAGACCAGCGACAAAAATCAACCACACAAGAGATTTATGTAGCTAAAAATAATAGCACAAATGTTAATCTCACGAAGAACATGAGAAGATAAACGGTCCAAGCTCTATCCTACAAGTCCTCAATCTGATAGAGCATGCCTACATAAGAGTGAATGTTACTAACCTTATCCTTGATGGTTTGAACCACAACTAAGGAATCGATTTCACAAATCTCTCTTTAGCAACTCATCTCATAAACAAGACTCAAACCATGTTTAATTTCTAACAACTCGGATAATAATGTCTTTGGAACTGTAAAAACTACTAAACTTGACTAAGAAACTTCCATAAGTGTCTCTAAACAAACCTCCAGACCCAATAATTAATGAACTATAAAAGAAACTTCCATCAATATTAACTTTAATGGATCTAATAAGAGGATTAGTCCACCACATAAAAGTCCAAAAAATAACTATTCTCTCGCGAGCGACACAAATAGTGATGTGGTATTTGGATCGAACTCTAGTGTCGATACGGGTAACTTCCTGGTTCGACATGAGTTGCATATGTTGTAGTCAAAATCTGATTGAGTATAATGTCGAAATATATTAACTTGTAATTTAAGTTTGTGTGTTGAATTGAACATTGTTTCTAAGTCCAATTGTTAAGTTAGTTTGTATCCTAAGTTATCTTAGTAGTCTATAAATAAACTAGTTCTTTCAGATTGTTGAGAGATGTTAATTGTTGGTATTCACTTGTAATCTTTGAACCCTTATTGAGTAAGTGAATAGTAAAATAATTTTAACCAATTCTTGTTCTTCTTCTTCCTTCTTCTCTATCTTTTGTAAAACCTAATAGGATTTCTTGTGTTTGTTCAAGAAACTCAATCTTTTTCTCATATTTTGGTTTGTTCTTGACGACATGTATTCACAAGAAACTGGTGTGGTGAGTATGGAGGAGAATATATCTTCAACAAAGTATGAGATTGAGAAATTCACCGGTATGAATAATTTCGGTTTGTGGCGCTTAAAGATGCAAGCCTTTCTTGTTCTATAGAGTTTGTTAGAAGTGTTAAAAAGATCGGAGAAGATGGACGCTACCTTATTGAAGAAGAATACAATAATGATCGAAAAAGCCCACAATGTCATTGTATTGAGCCTTAGTGATAAGGTTCTCCGTTGGGTTTTAAAGCAGAAAACTGCAGCGGGTGTGTGGACGAAACTTAAAGGTTTGTACATGACAAAATCACTTATTAATTGTCTCTACCTAGAGCAAGCTTTGTATTCATTCAAGATGAGTGAAGAAAAAGCATTGGCTGAGCAATGAGATATGTTTAACAAGTTAATTCTTGATCTTGAAAATATTGAGGTCAAGATTGATGATGAAAATCAAGCGTTGTTGATCTTGTGCTATTTACCTAAACCTCATGCTCACTTTAAAGAAACTCTCTTATATGGAAGAGAGTCGTTAACCTTTGAAGATGTCCAATCTGCCTTGTACTCTAAGGATTTGAACGAACAAAAGGAGCAAAAGCCATCTTCCATTGGTGAAAGTTTGTTTGTGTCATACAAGAAAAGTATGCCCTGATCGACTAAAGAATCATGGTGGAAAGGAAAATGGTAATGCAGCCATTGTGCAAGATGGTTATAAATCATCTTATGTATTGGTGGTTTCAATCAGTGACTCTAGCAAGGAATGGATTATGGATTCAGAGTATACTTGGAACATGACTCCAAATAAAGACATGTTTGAGGAATTATGTATTCAAGATAGTGGATCAGTGTTGCTGGGAAATAACAAAGCTTGCAGAATTGTAGGTATTGGATCTGTGAGATTCAAGCTCCATGATGAGTCAATAAGGTTATTGACTGATGTTAGGTATGTACCTGATCTTAAGAGAAATTTGATTTCTCTTGGTGAATTCGACAAGAAAGGATATGTTTTCAAAGGAGAGAAAAACATCCTAAGGACAATGAAGGGGTCGAACGAAGTCTTGAGAGACGTGAAAAAACAAGGCTTGTATACCCTTGAGACTAGGGTTGTAAGTGGTTCAGCAAATGTGGTATCGATGAAACTTGTGTCGAAGACTGAGCTATGGCATAAGATACATTGCCATGTCAGTGAAAGAGGCATGGTCGAATTGTTGAAACAAAATCTGATGGGGTGGTGATAAGGTCGAAAAACTGGAGTTTTGTGAACCTTGTGTATTTGATAAATCCTGTAAAGTGAAGTTTAACAAAGGTAAATAAATAACATATGAATCCCTTGATTACATTCATGATGATCTTTGGGGATCCGCAAGGAATCCTTCACACTCAGGTGCAAAGTATTTTCTATCCATAGTTGATGATTACTCCAGAAAGTTATGGGTATTCATCCAGAAGACTAATGATGAAACTTTTGAAAATTTCAAAAGTTGGAAGACTCTGGTCGAAAACCAAACTGGCGTGAAGGTCAAAAGGTTGTGGACCAACAATGGTCTTGAATTTTGTAATGAAACTTTCGACAACTTTTGTGTTGAGTTTGGTATTGCAAGGCACAACACTACCGCAGGAACTCCCCAACAAAATGGTTTGGCTAAAAAGTTTAATCGAACCATTTTTGTACGAGTAAGGTGTATGTTAGTTAGTGCAAAATTGAATAAGGTGATTTAGGTAGAAGTTGTTATGATTGCAACATACTTGATAAATAAGTGTCCCTCGACAGCCTTAGGAATGAAGACACCTGAAGAAGTCTGGTCGAGATATCCACCTAGTCTCGACAGACTTAAAGTATTTAATTGTTTAGCCTATGCTCTTATTAGGTAAGACAATGTCGAACCTAGAGCTCTGAGATGTATGTTTCTTGGATACCCAAAAGGAGTCAAGGATTATAGGTTGTGGTGCCTAGAGCCAGGTCACAGGAGGTGTATCACAAGTCGAGATGTAGTTTTCAATGAAGTTGAGATGACTTTCAAGAAAACTGATGACATTGTGAAGAGGTTTTGGACGAAGAACCTAGAGACTATAAGGAAGTTATGAGGGGTCAAGACAAGACATTGCAAAGTAGCAAGTGTTTCCACTGTATGCAGTTGATAAAGCTGCACAATGAAAGCTAGTTTGTTCCCTTATTATAGAGTTTGTTCCAAGGTGGAGATTTGTGGTATTT